GCAATTAGAATGAAATAGTAAAACAAAAAATATATTCTAAATGAGTTGTCATTAATTATTTTCTTTTTTTCATAAATATTCCAACAAAGGACAACTCCCTATATTATTATATATTATGTTATTTGTTATAAATTATTAATTAAATATTAGTCAACTTTTAAGTTTATAATGCCATTTATCAATTTGTATTATTTGAAAATTTATAGTAATAAAAGTATTTTTACTTGTTTGTTTCTATATTAGGATAAGAATTAACAATAATTTTTATAAGTTATTCTTATTATTCTTTGAAGACTTCTTTTTACAGGGTTTCATCCTATATTTTGCCTAGTAAATAGGATCGACATTTATATTTTTAGAAATTTATCTATTTCTTTTAAAATTCAATTATATTATTTAATAATATTGATTTATGTAATTTTTAAAAAAATATTTATTCATTAACATGGGAAAACGCCTAAAGCACCTATGGTAAGACTAGTATAATCCAAATAACTTAATGGCTAGTAGTAAAAAATAAAAAACCTGATTCGTCGTAATCGCAGTTCGACTAATATTTAGTAGGATGCGACTTATAATACGATAATGAGAGCTTGCATAGTTCCGAGGCCTCAACCCTATTTCGTTTCTGCCGCCATTCTGAGGCTCATTGGTCAGCTAGCTGCTCCGCTCTCCGCCACCGTCCACTTGCTCCCCCTCCGTTACCGCCGCCGCCGCCGCACTCTCTTCCTCTTTGCGTGATCCGAGTGATTCTCTCTCTTCCATCCCCTTTTTCTTACATTTTCTACCATTCTCTTTTTTTTAGCTTATTTTCTTGTCGAATATCTTTGTATTTTTTATTCACAGTAGTTCCTCAATAGTTGAGCTGGAACTATTTATTTGGTCGATGCTTTTATGTTATAAAGATCTTATCTTTGGTGTACAACTCTCCAGTTTTGCTTGTTAAATCACTTTGTCCTTGTTAGTTTCATGGTTTTTATTTAATAGTACATTGTTATATTACAGAGAGAATCAGGGCAGCTTAACAGGAGAACACAATGAGATTGGAGAAATGTTGGTTTTGTTCCTCAACTATATATCCAGGCCATGGTATTCAGTTTGTTCGAAATGATGCAAAGGTTGGATATTAATCTTTCCTCCATTTTTACTTACTTTATGATATGCATACCTTAGTAATGGTTTTTAAAAAATTGGTTATTTGCTGGACTCAATATGTTTTCCGCTGGGAAATCATAGGATAAAGTGGAGCCCCAGATGCTCCGGTCTAGTGGTAAGAGTGCGATGCTGAATGTGGGGGTTAGGCGCACGTGATGGGTTCAACACTTACCATAGACAAACCCTAGTATTTAAGTGGAGAAGAGTAGAGGGGCGGGCCCATTATCTAACGAGTTTCGAACCTATGCTGGCCCTTGGGAATATTTGGTTATGAAAAGATATCATAGGTTACTTAGATTTTAAGTTTTGAGTATTGCTAAGGATCTTTGACTTAATATCGAGCTATAATGCATACTGCTTTACAGTCCGATTGCTGATTATCTGGTCTGAGACTAGCTTTGAGTTTGTAGAAGGTATACTCTAACTGTTCTGTGGCTATAAATTTAACTACTTTCATGTTTGAGCTGGGGTAAGGATGAACTTTCAGGCAGACCTGCACTAGGACCAAGAGTTCCAAATGTGCATCGCTAAATTGAGCTAAGCATTTCAATGTGCTATTACTATGCCCGAGCTCTTGTTTAGGAAAGCTTGAAAAACCGAAAAAAAAGTTAAATCTTCTTTGTGCTAAAATCTAGGGGGAAATCCTAATTTAAAGTCTTGACCTTTTTATTCATGAAAAGGACACTAATTTAAATTGTACTCTCATGAAGCCAATTGAAACTCATTCATATAGGTCTCCAGTAAGAACGGTTCACTCCATCTAGCCTAACAGCAACAGGTTTTATTCCACATCACTATAGATCAGACATAAGTACCATTAACATTTAGAGTTTTGTGACGAAGTAATAATTTATCGAATAAACAATTGAACTCTATAAAGGAAAAGAGGCAAACTAAGATTTAGGCATGTCTTATGAGCCAAGGGCATATTGGAAACAACCTCTCTACCGCTACAAGGTAGGGGTAAGGTCTGCGTATACACTACTCTTCCCATAACCCACCCATGGAATTATACTGGGTATGTTGTTATTGTTGTCGCATGTCTTATGAGAAGCTTAACATTCACACGCTGTAATCATCAACAATATAACATAATCTATAAATATTACATAAGGATCGTGGAACTATATGATTTTCATTGCCTGTGCACATAATCGGGAACTTAATCAAGAAAACATAGCTGACCAGCCTTGTTGGTCAAGTTCACTTCATTTCTCATTCAAAAAGTCACAAAAGGCTTCTTAGGGGTGTAGGCGATATATTGGCCAATGCCGGATGTGAAGTAAGTATTTGTTGAAAAAGAGAATAGCATTCATGCTTTTTTCTCATGGATTCGAGATCCCTATTCTCGAACTCGATCAATTTGTTATATTCCTTTTGTGAGGAGCAATTGTTGAGGGAATATTTTACTTCTACCCAATAGACGTGCCTATATCCATCAAAAAATGCTATTGATATTTTTCATTGCCAATATTCTTTTTATCATCATTGACTCCAAAGCTATACTGTGAATCGGGGGTCAAGGCTCCAACAAGACCTGGAGACCAATAATCTTCCGACCACTAGTTTTCCTTGAGTTTTAATGATCCTAGATGCCTTTATTCTTTAAGTTGTGAGGAATTCTGGTTTCTCTTCCTTTCTGTTTTCTCTTACAATTAGCATTCAATGGCGCACAATAACCTGCTTTCTGGGCAACAAGAAGACTTTTTTTTCCAAAATTCCTTTTATTTCTCACATTCCATCACGTCAGAAAACACTTAAATATTATTTCAGAAAATAACCGCTCTAGGTTTAAGAATGAGCTTTTATTTGTTAATGCCAACTTCTGATCAGATTAAGATAGATTTAGTCCCACATGCCTTCTATAAAACTCATTACTTCATCAAAAAAAGAAGAAAATAGATTTAGTCCGAAAATAACTATCACGTCATGTGGGCTGCATCTTACGTGTTATTCCGTTAGTTATGCAGATTTTTCTTCTTCTTGAGCTTTTGCTATGGTAGCAGCCCTGCAATTTTTTCATTGTCATGGGTTTGATGGTGTTTCTCTAGTTTCTACCCAAGAAATAGAGTAGCAGGTGGCAGTGTTTTTAAAGGCAATCATGGGGCGAGTCTTAGAGCGCGCATCAGGGCGGGGCGGTCAAAAATCGCCTCGGAAGCGGAAATGGAAAGCGTAGTTCCATTAGGCGTACATCTCAAATGATTAGGCATTCGCCCAGGCGCGCCTTGCGCCTTAAGAGAGAGACGCACGCCCAGGAGTTCAAGCAAATCTAGTGAGAAATCTAAAGAAGAAGAAGAATACCGCAACAGGGATCTATTTCTTCACCATAAACATACAAATATAACAATTTCAAAACTTGGAGACTGCCTGTTGCTGTTTAAAAAATAATATAACTTGCTTTCTTGGTTGCTTGAGTGGAGTGAGCATGGACAACGGGTAGCAGAGAAATAAGGGAAAAATAGGTACCATTGCTTCTTCATTCTCGGTTTCAGAAACTTGGATCTGGGTTTGGAACACAATTTAGGATAGAGGATTAATTCTCAAATGTTGGGGGTGGGTGGTGGGTGGAGGGAATTTAGGGGAAAATGGCAGGGGAGAGTAGCAAAGAAGATAATGGATTATTCTTGAACAATACCTTTTCTCTTCTTTCCAAAATAAGCTGACGGAGAATTCTGTGAAACACCGTTTGTTTCTCCTATTACGTATAAGATACAGAGTAAGTTCCTTTTTAAGTTCTTTTTTTTTCAACCTTGTTTAATTTCATAATTGGTTTTAAGTTTTTAACAGCATTTTCATTTATATTCCCAAAAGAGGTTTTTCTTTTTTCTTTTTAGTTTCTTAATTGGTACTGTTATTTTAAACTTTGCCAGATTATTTTCATCTCCTTACTAATTCATAATGCAAGATATTGATATATAAAGTTGTTTAAAGATATGAACAAAAACATTTAGCAACTCATTACAAATATGGATGTTGATGTATACGAGGATGAACATTGACACTGATTAACTTTATAAATTTGTAATTTGTATTGTCTAAATTTGTGTTAGAATGTTGATTTATATTAATTCTTTCTATAATACTTTTTGCAAATTTAATTTTTTTTAATAATTTCTATTATATTTTACATATTTTGAATAATTTATGATATTTTTAATGATTTAAAAGATAATTAAAATTAAGATCCATGAGGCTTACACCCCGTGTCTCGGGACTTAAGCCTCGCCCTGTCTTAGGTAAAACGCCTTGTCTCAGTCTCATGCCCCTGCCTTTCAAAACACTGGCGGGTGGAGCTTCCCTCCGTTCTCCCTTGCTGAAGATCCTCGAGTTTAGCATTAATATGGCTCCAAATTAGGGTTTTGGAAAATTGTCTCCCTCATTTTCTTCCAATCTTAATTTTTGTAGCTGTTTAAAAGCTTAATGAGGGGTTTTCTGTGAGTATTGCAGCCCTTGGCTTCATAGCCACAATTGGGTGGAACAGAGAGAAGTGTGAGGAGCAAAGCCTAGAACAAGAGAGGAAATATTGGTTGCAAGCTTCCACACCAACTGCTGAAGTGGGAGGGGCTGCAAAATATTCCACCTTTGAGAATAACCTGCTATGGGTCCTTTAATGATTCTTTTCCACTGGCCCTATAATGATTTGAGCGATTATTTTTGGACAATACTCTATTTAACCTTGAATAAAGTGCTGTACTGCATTCAAAGCTAACTAAATAGCTGTTCAATCACAAATTGAGTCGCATGCAAGAATAGTAGTTAAACTCTTTCACCTAAATTGCAGTTGAGTCGAAGAGTGTTTTAGGACTAGTCATTGATTTATGATCTTTCTGGTTGTCTCTTTTANCTAAGTGTCACAAGAACTTTAAGATGAAGAGGAATCCACGTAAAGTAAAATGGACAAAAGCATATAGGCGGCTGCATGGAAAGGACATGACTCAGGTAAACGATGCCACTCTTTTTGTGATACGATGTATATGCTCTTTGTTGAATTAAACTTCATTTACTTATTTGTTTTTTTCGGTTACTGAAATTTCTTTTCCTGCTGCTAATTCCTATTTGAAGGACTCGACATTTGAATTCGAGAGGAAGCGTAATAGGCCGGAAAGATATGACAGGAATCTAACTGAGAACACTTTGAAGGCCATCAAGAAAATTGATAAAATCAGAGTCGATAGGGAGGATAGACATATCGCAAAGAGGTTCCTTAGATTGTGCTTCATTAATTTCCATCACTTTTTATTTGTCATATGCCTTTAGTTGCTATTAACATTAGTTGGCAAATCGGACAGGATGAAAGGAAAGAAAGCCAAGGAGCAGAGAGAAGCAGCGAAGGAGCTCGAGCAGAGTATTCACATGGTCAAAGCGCCTGCTGCGCTCGACAAAGAGCCATCCCTTACACTGCCGATCAAGGTCAAGGTTTCGCAAAAGCAGTCAGAGGAAAATCGCATGGAGGAATGAACAATTCACTCCCTATATTCTATATTCTCAAACTATAACATAAAATGCATTCTCATTTCAGTATGTATAACTTTTTTGTTACATTTAACTCTCTTAATCTTGTATCCATCAAAAAAGAAAACTGCCTTGAAATATTAGAAAACTTTTCTGACTAGATACAGACACACACACAGAGACTCTTGAATTTGGGTTGATCACAACTAGGATAGGTCCATCTTTTAATCCAAGTTCTCACAGTTTTTTTTATAGATGATACTTGTCATATTAATATCGGCTAGATGATCTTTTTAGATTCATTTACAGCTTTGGGGTACAATATCTAAGTACTCATGAAATTAACATAAAAGATCTCCCTTACTTTTCGATTTCGTAATGGTTTGGCAACTTGTCGAGTGAGGATATTACATTCTGTACCCCAAGGAAAACTCAAAAACTTTTCATAACAGCATTACTTTTTTCCTCTCTTTTTACTTGGATGCAAGCCTATTAATAAACAATCATAAATGCTATGCTTTTGCTCGTTTACAAGCTTACCTAAGAGGTTAGGCAACGGAACAGAAGAACAATACAAGCACTTATGACAGAATAAAAGATCACACTACTAGTAATGTGTTGGGAGAAAAAGGGACCACTTTGTTCCTACTAGTTTCACCAATAATAAGCAGTTTGTACTCCACTAACTTTACTAGTGGAGGTTGCAGGTATCCGTGAAATTAGTCAAGGTGCGAGCAAGCTGGTCTAGATACCACGGTCATAAAAAAACTTTAGACTAATGGAAGTAAAAAAAGAAGAAGTAGATTTTCATAATCATGGAGTGTTTCTAGTTCTCATCATGAATTATGGGAGAAAGAAGCTCAATGATATTGAATCTATTAGTTACCATCTTGTCTGAAATCAGGCAAGTACAAATGACTTATTATTTTTAACAATGTTCTTAGTTTGTCTTGACCATGGAATTATTGTCTTGGAGCATTTTGTTACCCTTCTCCTCAGTCATCAAAATCTCTTTCTTGTCTTTGATTTGATCAAGAACTATGTTGTGTTGTGGTGGTTTAGTTTCTACTATCGGCCTTGGCGGCTTCCTTGCAGTTGTGTTTATGCATCTTCTGCAAATCAGACAACATAAAAATCAACAATTCCAAAGAAGTATCAATAAGAAATAACTCATAAATTTAAGGAAATGATAGAATCTTGCTTGTCTGCATGCATGTCAAATAAGAATTTAACTTATACAAACTGACAGTGTAAATAACTTTTGCATCTTCTACATTATCAAATCAGTGCTACTATATGCAGTTACATTTTGTTCTAAGTAACTTTAACTTGACGGTATAAAAATTCTTTACACCGTTGACAGTGTAAGAAGTTAAACTCAATAAGAATAAGTGACATGCACAATTACATATTGATGTGAAAGATAAAGCAGGTAGTTGTTAACTCACATGGTAATAGTCTTAAGCAGACAAGCCTGGGAGCTTGGAAATATTTCCATGGTTTTGGGCACTATGCGCCTGAAGAAGAAAGCCATTAGCAAATTATGGATTAATTACTTGAGAAAATGAGATGAAGCTATAGCTAGTCTTAATTTTATTAGAATGTGCGCTGACTGAGGAAAGAAGATGTGGTATATAAAGAGCAATCAGGCAATATAATAATTGTAGACAACTGTTGACTACAAAAATCAAAGTAGAATTTGAAAGGAAGATTATTTTTTCCATCCGGTGTCTGGTATATTCACATTAGAATATCCGACTAAATTCGAATTCGCGTCGTAAAATCTCAATATAGAGTAAAGCGCTTCCTAACAAAAATGACTTTATATCCAAAACTCGAACCCAAAACCTGTATTTAATGATGAAAACCAGTACTCCATCACGATTGTTGTTGGTAGAAAGAGTTTAATTTACTGAAAGATGACAATAGTCTTCAGTTCACATTCTAAAACATTGTTTTCTTCTTGTTTTTACATGCTTATGAATATTCTTGTTTTCACGATTCCTTATCCATCTATTGTCTTTTTTCTTTTTAAACTTTTTCTCCAAATAATTTTGGTCAACGCTACCTTTTTCACACATGGCTGACTTATTGGAAGACAAGACAAATGAGATTTTTTTTCTTCCAATTATGTGTAAGGAGAGGACTTTGAATATTCAATGAGAATAGTCAATTAACTATGAAAGATTAAATTAAAGGAATCTTGTGTTGGTTTTCCTCTAATTTTTTTTTTCATATATAGAAAGGGATAAATAAATCAATTAAATTTGATTCATGAAGTGATTCTTTCGGAGTTAAATTTTTATGTCCATATTTGAGAAAAATTAAAATCTTTTAGGATTTTTTGTGTGTTTAAATTTCCATTTCTATGACTTCTTATTGTTTTATCCAAATTCTGTGTTATGATCATCTTACAACTTTTTGCGTTGTCTAAACTATATAATTTTGTCTCTCTTTCTTTTTCCGTTACATGAATATCTTGTTTCCACACTCGACGAAGCAAGTTGTTTGGACTGAAAAATCCCTCCTTTGACTTAGTACTACTCCCCCCATTTAAAAAAGATTTACAATATTTCTTTATTAATCCGTTTAAAAGAGATTGACACGTTTTAATATTTCCTTAATAAAAAGTATTTATAGCCACACAAATGCTCTAGCAGGTTTAAGACCATAAATTTTAAAAGTTTTACTATCACACAATTGCTATGACTTATTTAAGACCATATATCTCAAAAGTCTTTCTTTCTTTATTAAAGTTTGTACCAAGTAAATTAAAATTAGGACAATTTTTTTGAAACGTATGAAGTAATATATACTCTATAATTGGTTGACAATGAAATATTATATTTGCATCGACATTCAGCAGGAGATCTAGAAGGAGTTGTATCGATTCAATCGAACCCCTTGTTTTTTGATCGAACTATGTAAATATTTGTAAAAAAGTGAAAATTAGTAAGATAATAACAAACCGGCTATATACTGATTATATATTTTGAATTTGCTTTTTCCGACGTCAACGTCGTATATGATATACGAGTTTTTTTTGGGCTTTATTTATTTTTGTCCCGCTCTAGAAACTATTTACATTCAGTAAATAAAAAAGTGTATAAAATTTAATTTGTATAATTTAGGCGTAATGTCTTCCTGGCTACTTAAACTTGTATCGGTTTGTAAAGCTGATATATGAACTTATATTTTTCCCATTTGAACACTTCAACTTCACATAATGAATACTAATAAACACATTTGACCATTGATCAAGCCTATGTGGAAGTGGCATAGCTGACATGACTAAATTGTGTGCAAATCACGCTGCCAAGACGCGTGAATAGTTTTATTTTTATTAAAAAAATATTAGAAATAGAATAAAATATAAATAAAAAAGAAAAAGAAAAAAAGACCTTTCTCTCTCCCCTTCTTTTTTCTCCTCCCTCCCCACCTCTCTCATCTTCCCAAGCAACTCCCCCGTCCTGTATTTTTTTTCATTTTCTATCCTACTTTCCCTTCCCTTCCCCGTTTCTTTTTCCCTTTCTCTTCCCCATTCACTAAATGGCTCTTGCACAAGGATGGCAAGCACAAATCTAAAAATAATCCAAATTATTATGTGTTGATCTATTAGAAAAAGAAATGCAAGACCGGATATCCGATTCATTAGCATCATCATCATCATCTGGTTCTTCTTGGCCGTCACTGAGCTCTTCCAGATCAGACTATAGCTGTTTTGGGGAAATCTAGGGTTTGCAAGTGGGGCTTAGCGAAGAAGCCGTCAATATGAGGAGGGCAAGGTTTGGAATCAAAGTCGAGTAGTTCTCGGGAGGGACTATCCCTGTTCCATTCCCTTTTGTGAATCTCGTCATCGGTTAAATACCAGAGAGAACTCAAATTGTGGAGGAGGGCACCGTCGCCGTCGCCGTCGAAGTTAGAGAGCCGACGACCTTGTCCACCCATACTCTGAAGCTGTTGCTACCTTGTGAACAGTATATATATACCACAGGCTATATACACAGGTTGTCAAAGCAGAAAAGAGCAGTAGGCTATATTATTGTTTGGACGAAGCTTTCATATAAGAGGAAGAAGATGATGGTGGTTGAAAATGGCTGATGTTTGGAGTTGTTGGTGAACTATTGGCTGTGTATGGTGGAGAAAAAAGAGAAAGAAAAAAAATTAAAACTTTTAAAGATTAACTATTTTCTAATAATATAGGACCCACAAATTCACATGTCATATAATAAAGACCAAACATATGACCTGATATTCATGTTAGAGCGATTGACGAACACGTTCAACAGAAAGTGTTTATTAGTATTCATTCCGTCAAGTTGAAGTATTCAAATAGGAAAAATATAAGTTCATGTATCGGCTTTACAAACCGATACAAGTTTAAGTGACCAGGAAGCCATTACACCTATAATTTATGTATATAACATACAATATATATATAAAATACAAAATTATATTTTTTTTTTGACTATTATTTTGAGAATGACTATACAATCTCATTTTTTTTCCTTCAGCGTAGTACGCCTAATATACTTTTGTCTGTTCCTGCAACATCCTACACCTAATGTATTTTTGTCCGTTGTTGCTGTTGGGTGACAACCCACCAACTTGAATTTTATCTCTTCTCCTTCTTATGCTGCTTCTACTTCTTCTTCTATACCTCACCCTTATTATTTTTGTTTTTAATTTCTTTTATACATTCATATATGAATCCTTTCTTTTCTTGTATTATCTTGCTGCATCTTCCAATTGATTGGAAATTTGCAAGTACACTAAACGTGAAACGTCTTTTTTGCTAATAACAAGCTAATCTTCGTTCAAACAAGATGATTTCATGTGCGGGATATGTTATTCAAAGTAATTATTTGTAGAATAAAATAAGACAAAACTAAAGCAACTAACGGCTAATCCTCTTTTATAACAACTATATTTTGTAAATGCGAAGGGGAGCCTTGAAGCAATGATAAAGTTGTTTTCGTTTGNTTTTTTACCTCTATATATTAAGTTTTGAACCCCCTTAACACAATCCAAAAGTGTAGTTTAGTGGTCAAGGGAGTTCAAAATCTACATAAGGTCATGAGTTCAATTCCCACTAGATACAATTTTTTTTTTGAACCCCCTTCGTGGAGATCCTGCCTCCGCCACTATTAGGATAAACTGTCTATATTGCTATTTAAATTTATGAAAGATGCGTAAACTAAAATATTTTTGTAATTTTTATTTTTTGTGACGAAATAAAGTATAAAAAGTCAAAATTAGTTGAAATAGCTATATTAGGCCTAAACTAAATATTTACGTGCTAAGATATGGAAAATCTTGGGGAGGGTCAAAAATCACATGTCTACAGCCGATTCTCTATCTCTTAGGTACGAACCTTCTCTGAAATCTGCATGAATGTGAAATGTGCACTGCGCTTTAAATGCCGGTCGTCGCAAAAAGTAGCACTAAGATTTTACCGCGAATTGACACTACTACACAACCGACGGATTCTGATGGCTCATCAATAGTAACCAGTGGCGGACGGACGTGGTGACAAGCGGGTTCAACTGAATCCGCTTCACCAAAAAATAATACTGTGTATATGTATAAATTACGATTAAAGTTGTGTAAATTTTGTATAAATATTTTATTTGAACCCACTTGGCTATTACTACTATTTGAGGACTAAAGTTATGTACTTCTAAGATTGAACCCATTTACACAAAATCCTGGGTGCGCCACTTAGTAACGTAGCATTTGCTATTGCAAAAGGTCTGCCATTCTAAATATATGTCAATATTCCGATGGATTTTCTTACGTAGGAAATTGCTGCAAAAGATCTGAGGTAATCCTAGTAGTTTCTTAATTTGGGTCGTACTCGTTGGTTGTTCTTTTCTTCAATTCCTACTAGTGTTGATGCTTAAGAACATTTTTATCATTGCGATTAATTTCGCCATTACATACATAAGGATAATCTGCCAAGGTTACCATATACCCTTTCAACGATATTACAAGGTTACAAAATACCTGAACTTTTAGATCAGTCACAGTGTTACGTACAATTCATATATATTAGTAATCCATGCATTATTATCCGTATATTACAATTTCTGCATTACAGCTCTTATATTACAACTTTTGCATTATTACGAATATCCATGCATAACAAACCCTATATTACAATCCGGACAATACAAGCACCTACTACAGAATAACTTTAGACTAAGTACGAATGACTTATTAGCTTTAAGAAACAAGATTCCTAGTTTGATTTGACCATGGAATTATCGTCTTGGAGCTTTCTGTTACTGTTCTCCTCTGTCATCAGAGTCTCTTTCTTGTCTTTGTAATTGTTGTTTTGTGGTGGTTTAGTTTTTACGGGTGGCCTTGGCGGCCTCCTTGTTGTATTTAGGCATCTTCTGCAAATCAAACACGAACAATCCAACAAATCAAGAAGAAATGTCAGCCAAAAGTAATTCATGAATTTAAATATCTTCCATAAATTTGAGATCATTCATTCTGTTAACATATTGTCTCGTTTCATCCCTTGCCTTGTATCATGGATTCCACGCGTGTCAAAATACTTACCTTGTATCTTTACTTTTGACTTATGGCTTAAAATTGTCCTCGGTTAAACTTCAGTTTGGAACTCCTTAATGATTAATTAGGGAAAGTATGAGATGATTTTCTAACAGAAAGGGTATTATGATTTATGACTACAAAGTTTAATGAAGATATTTCTATAGTAGAGGAGTATTTAATTTTACAGCTTTTTCCTTTAAATAAAGATGATATAATCTTGCTTGTTGGCATGCATTTTTGGAAGAGAAAAAACCTAGGATATTAGCTGTTAACTCACATGGCTATTATTGTCTTGAGTAGACACGGCTTGAAGCTGGGAAATATTACCATGGATTTGGACACTATGCTACACGAAAAGGCCATTAGCAAAGAGTTTCTGAAATTTGCTTGGAGAATTACTGAGAGGAAGCAGTAATCTTGTTATATATGGTGTTCTGCACAAGGCAAGAAGATTGTGATATATAAAGAGCAATATTTCACACTGTGTGATCAATGTAGAAGCAATCATTCTCCACTAAAAAAGAAAAGAAAAAATTACTCCATAAAGAAAGACTTTACTTTTGGTGAAAGAGACATTCGTCTTTAGTGGGTTTCATTTTCGAAAGACTTTAAATTTTGGACAGCTATAATGTACAGATTTCTTACGCCATCAAGATATAATAACAACAGGCAACTTTTCACATAACCTCATATGGTACACTAAAAAATGAAAGAATAACTTGTTATATACAACGAATGTTAAATCAAACTGATGGTATAAAAAAGATCTACATTGTTTCGATATATATAACAAATTATTTTTCGACTACTTTCCCTTTGTTTTTTTTTCTATGTCCACAGAGCACAATTTAGGATAAGCATGTTTCACGATTCTCCTATCCTTCTTTTCTTTTTGATTTCCTCCAAATAATTATGGTCCCATGCAGCTTTTTCCAGACATAGCTGGCTTATAGGAAGACAAGAAATTGCGGCATTTGGTCAAGGGATAAGGTTTCATGTTTGGCCAAACGTGTCTTTTTTTCTTTTCCTAAAAAAGGCACTAGTACTTGTTTTCTGACAATATATAGTGGGTTCGATTGTTGTAGCTGGTTTTAGTTTTTAAATTTTTGGGGAACACTCTCCAAACACAATTATTTTCAAATGAAGGAAATCGTCTAATTTCAAATAACTCAAAAGAAAAGTATTTTTAAAAGCTTCTCCAAAAGTTATTCTTAAAATTCTGTCAAAACGACATAGAATACAAGATGACATCATGAGAAATAAATCTACATATTAATTAGATATTCAATAAAATGAATCTTTTTTATAGTATATAAGGTAAACGAAGAAGAGAAACATGTAAATTTCTCACTCTTATATTACTGATTTTAGTCTCAAACCACCAGATGTGCTAATTAAAATCTAATTTTCATCTTTGGACAGTAAGTTTGGACACATGTATCGGTATTTTTCAAAATGTTAGATCTTTAATTCTAATACCTAAAACCATAAATAAAAGAAAAAAGAATACCATCTAATTTTCAGGAAAGGATCAATTGAAATCCTTGAATTGTTTCTGCTAGACCAACAAATTTTTATGGAGAACCGATAAATATTTCAGCTACGAAAAAGGATTGTGATAAGGAAAGCTTCATTTTCGCGCTCTTGCTACGAGTAAATGATTCTCTTCGGATAATTCGTTCAATCCAAGAATAGCTATAATGTCCTGAAGTTCTTTGTAATGTTGCAAAGATTGCTTAACTCTTTGGGCGATTTTGTGTAATGGTCCTCACCCACGATTCGAGGTTAAAGCATGGTCGATATTGAATCTAAAGGATCTGCTGGATAAATACCATTAAAGGAGTTAAGGAAATGATATATAAATTGGGGTCAAATAAAATATACTATAAGGAAATTGATAAAGAAGAACACATGCGCAATAATCTGCCATATGAATGCACAAACTTCACATCGAATGTTTATCTTTCCTTAACTTTACTACTAATTTTTTTTTTGGGATCTGAAAATGAGATTAAAGTTCCTTTTTCGTCATTCAAATATTTGCAAAATGAAAACGTTCTATCAAGACTTTGATTAAACAACTAAACGAGCTTAAGACTTCAGCAGCGTTATTTTGAAGGTTGACTAAGTCAACTAAACGAAAGTTAAGACTTCAACAGTATCAATAATGGAAGGCAATCGATTATTAAAGGTTGCAAAGTACCGACACTTGGGATAATTATAACCCTAACATACGTTTAGAATTGGTTGTTTGGCCTCACTTAAATTAATTAGGGAAATTACCAGGTATGTCCATTTATAAGTAGCTCATTACAAAAATTGGCCAATTGATAAAATATTAATAATATTAGCCAAATTAGCCAATTAGCTATTTGTAGCAAAAAAATATCAAATTTTTGCTTTGTTTTGAGTGAGTGTTATTAGAATAGATTGGACACAACTTAAGGAGCTTGAATCTCAGTTTTGGGATGATTTAGTGAAGTTTTGAGGTGTTTGATTGAAAATTCGAAGTAAAAGCTGAACATAAAAAAAATGATATGTGTATCACACTGTGTATGTATCACATATGTATCATATTTGTATCAATTGTGTATCACATGTATATCCATGTATACCTGTGTATGAGATACATGCGTGATACATGTTTGATACATATGTCGCAGAAGACTTTTTTGAACTCGATTTAATTACGAATTTTGATACAAAACCAGTCCAAATCACTTCCAATCTTCCTCAAATTTTGTATATTGACTTATCTATATATTTTCAATGAATTTTAACTATACCCATTGAAAAAGTTCCTTTTTCTTTTAGATTTTTGGAATATTGTATAGATTTTTGTATTTCATCACCTTATTTGCTACCTCGTCCATGAAATTTTCTTTCCGTCTTGTATCTAATGTTGCTAATCATGCTTAAAAAATATGGAAGGTGATTTTAGCATGTGATTCTTTGAGAGAAAGAACCCTATTATTTGGTTTTTCAATTTTTGCTGACAAGTTTTGGTAAGTCTATGACTAATGGCTAGAGGTTGGTAAGTTGAGAATTATTTGGGACATTTGTGTAAGTTTTCCAATTAATTATTTGTCATAGTGTTCCTCGTAAGTTTTCTTTAATTAAATTGATTGTTTTATTCAATTAAACTTTAGTTAATTCACTACTAAAAAATGGCCCATTTCCGATTGAAATATTCCGACAGAAAAAATAGTCGTAAATTGCCTAAAAATATAATTTTCAAATTTTAATAATAATTACGACTGATATTTTGTTCATATCCGTCGTAAATTTTAGCGAAAAATACCCGCGTAACTGTTAACGACCAATTCGGTCGGAAACAATTAAAAAAAAATAAAAAATTGTGATTGATTCTATCACGACCCGAATTTCTCACCTTGGGGAAGGTGATGACGCCTAACATTGTACTCGCTAGGCAAGCCAACACTACAAAATATTTTAGCTTTTTCCTTTATCCTTTTAAAATTAAAATTTAACAAACTAAGTCAGCGCAAATAAAAGCGGAAGTACATAATTTAACTGATTACCATTATACTATTAACCAAAAGCCGAAATAGATACCACCCAGAAACTGGTGTCATATCTCATGAACATTCTACGAATACTACAAGTAATGATTTGAAAAAAAAATACATCTGTCTTGAAGAAAGTAAAACAGAAATAAAGTAAAGATAGGAGGGGACGCTAGGGCCTGCGGACGCCTGCAGGACTACCTTGGGTCTCCTGAATGCAATATCAGCAACCGACCTCTCGATCAGCCACTACCAGCTCCGAAATCTGTACAGAAAGTGCAGAGTGCAATATCAGTACAACCGACCCCATGTACTGGTAAGTGCCGAGCCTAACCTCGACGAAGTAGTGACGAGACTACGACATGGTATAACAATATATATATACTGTAACAGTTTATACTAAGACAGAAAGGAAATACATAATGAAATATAACAGTAACTTGCATTAAATAAATACGGAACCCAGTCTTTCTACCATTACTCAGCTATAACCAATCCTTAAGAGAGTTTCAGCACTACAATAATGAATCTCAGCAGAAGAAGAATATATAAATAATAATTGATGCGGCGCGTATCCCGATCCCACCATATAATCAATAATAGAATGAACATTCACCCTTATTACTCCTTGTTGCGGCGCGCAACTTGATCCCACCAGACAATCACATTTTTTCCTTATTCCTCCTGTTGCGGTGTGCAACCCGATCCTACTATATCAGTACCAATCATAAAATAAAAACAATTATATCACAGATTAATTTAAATCCTCCACAACACTTACACCTCAAATAAACACAATGGAAGATCACTACAATTATGAAACTTCATCAGTCATTACTACACAACGAGACCAACCAAAGGGTACCATGAATAACCAATAAACCAATGTAAATCAACAATGAGATATAATGAAACTACGGAACAATTAATAACATCAATAGAGAAATAACATTTAACAAGAAGCAATGAGACATGGAAGCATCAATAAGCAAGTACCAACTAAGAGAGGAAAGCAATATATAGGGAAACGGGGAAAGGGAACATGCTAAACAGGTAATTTGGCAACGCATAGGTGCTCTCACCACACCTATACGCCACACACATAGTATTTCACATAGCAAGCAAGTTGGGGATCCCTAATCCCTCAAGTCAAGATTAGACCAAATACTTACCTCAAGCCAACGGGTAATTCACAGCTCAAATACCGCTTTGCCTCTCGATTCCACCATCAATCCACTCGTATCTAGCCATAATTAACTTGATAACATCAATAACTCCTAAAGAAACCAATTCCAATGCATAATTATGGATTTCCCAACATTTTTCCCAAATGTCAAAAATCGACCCTAGGCTCGCTTGGTCAAAACTCAAAATTCGAATGAAAAACCGATTACCCATTCACCCCCGAGCCCGGATATACAATTGATTTTGGAATTCGACCTCAAATTGGGGTCCAAATCCCCAAATTTCAAAATTCTACCCAAGAACACCCAATTCCATCATGAAAAACCCTAGATATTAGGATGAAATCTTGTAAAAAGATGAAATAGATTGAAAGAAATGAGTTAAAAATAATTTACCTATGATTTGAGGAAGAACTTGCCCTAGGAAAATCGCCTCTTGAAGTTTAGGTTTTGAAAAATGGGAGAATGAATGAAAAATCCCGTTTAAGTTATGTTTTGAACAGCTGCAGATGTCGCATTTGCGACCTGAGCTTCACAAATGTGAAGCTCGCAAATGCAAAGAACTATCGCAAATGGGAAGTTCTCCATATTTTTGCTGCCTTCGCAATTGCGAAGGTAATGATCGCAATTGCGATCAGGGACCTCCACAAATGTGACAAAAAGATCGTATTTGTGATCACACCCCTTCCCAGACTCTCTTTGAAATTGCGAAGATATGTTCGCATTTGCGAACTCTGCTGG